TTCTGGATTTATGGGTGTAAAAAGTGCATATTCACCTCTATTGGGGTGTGTGTGTGTGTGTGTGTATATATTCAGATAGGGAAATCTATTAAATGGCAATGCATGTTCTCGGTAATGCATCCCGATATCCAGGGAAGTGAAAAACTAATCTCGATATTTTCATGTTAACATTAAATGTATTTTCCTTTGTATATTTAAATTCTGCTTAATTTTACTCAGTTTATGGAACTAGGCTGCTACAATTTATTCATCTGGCTTTTATCTATAAAATAAGCTGAGTTTAAAATTTACAGGAGTTAATTAAAAACAGAAGATGTGACATTTCTATTACTCATGGAATTGATCCAGGAGAAGAATACTGTACAACACATAAAAATGAAGAAAAAAATGGGGTTCTAAAAAAAAAATCTACTCACATATATTAATATATGTAAATTTAATACATTTGCATATATTAAATCATCATATTTGTAAGGTCCTTCAGAGCAGATTTTAAAAGCCTGAATCAATGTGCAAGTGGAATAATTTGTACTAAATAAATTGAACATATTTTTTTTCTAGAAACAAACTAATATCAGTGAAAATATCATACATTTCCCTGATCAGTGAATCAATGTACTGGGTAGCAACAACAAGAATAAATTGTTAATTTAATCATTATATTAATTCAGGGTCATTGTCTGTGTTGACTGTTAGCACCCATATAGATTCTCTTGAGGATAATCTGTCTTCAGCTTGACCTTTAGGTCTCTCAGTGGTATATTCATTGCTGTCATAATCAAGTCTATCTATCTTGCTGGTGGTCATCCTCTTCTCCTTTCTTCAACTTTCCTGGCATTATGGACTTCTCAAATGAGTTGGATCATCACATAATGTATATAAAGTAGAATGGTTTGGGCATAGTCATTTGTGTCACAAGTGAAAATTCTGGATTGATTTATTCTATGATCCATTTGTTTATTTTCCTGGCTATCCATGGTATCAAGCATTATATAACATAAGAAGCAGAGGCAATCACCATGTGTAGTTACTATTTGTACTTCAGAGACACTTCAGTCAGTAAGGGCAGTATGGGAGAGGCCAGAGCTAAATGTCTCTTAAACAACTATAAATAATTATATAATTTTCCATATAATCATTAAAAACAATTGAGTCACACAATTCCCATGGAATTAAGGTTCATCAGCTGCACAGAAATCCTTCATAGATATAGGAAGCTGTATACTACAGATAGCCTCCTCTATGCATGGGGGGGTGGGTAGAATGAGGTGGCTTGGGCTAGCGTATTTAAGTCTCCTCCTCCGTGGATGTGGGTAGACTATCTCAACTTTAGATTCATCCACCTAGGGTGCTTATTGGATCCCAGTTACCCTTTGCTGAGGAGACAGCTTCACAATGGAGCGTCAGCCCATATGGCGTAGACCAGACAAAGAAATAGATACCAGGTGTGCCTAAAATTACTTTTATTAAGTTTGTCTACTGTTACAGAATTTTGCAAGTCTGAATGTGCTTCTCCTCCTCTCTCTTTTATCTTCATGTGAATTCAGGGTGTGTGTGTGTGAGAGAGAGAGTGAGAGAGAGAGAGACTTCTGAACCCCTCCACCCTCCTTTGGGCTTCTGGGTTTCTTCTCCTGATTGCCTTGGTAATGGTTCTTCCCTTTCTCCATCAAGGTCATCCTCTTTACTCTGTACACTTCAGCTCCTCACTTCTCCTCACGAAATGTTCTTTTAAGACATTTATTCTATCCTAGAATGTAACCTACTACAGCCGTGGCCTCAGCATACAGCTCTTCAACAGCACTTCTCCAGCAGCTGCCTCTTGGCTGCACAAATCCAAATGTCCAGTAAATGAGAGAAAAACTCTACCTCTTTGCCCCACTTAGTGGTCAGTAGGTCAACAGGCCAGTTGTTCTGGAGAAAGTAAGTGAATATTGTTGTTCAGTTGTTAAGTCATATCTGACTCTTCGTGACCCCGTGAACCATATCGCACCAGGCCTTCCTGTCCTTCACTGCCTCTCTGAGTTTGCTCAGTTTCA